CAGCTACTAAAGAAATCTAGATGGAAGTGCCATGGGCCTGCCTAGACCAGCCGTGGGCAAACTACGGCCCGCGGGCCAGATCCGGCTCGTTTGAAATGAATAAAACTAAAAAAAAAATAAAAAAGACCGTACCCTTTTATGTAATGATGTTTACTTTGAATTTATATTAGTTCACACAAACACTCCATCCATGCTTTTGTTCCGGCCCTCTGGTCCAGTTTAAGAACCCATTGTGGCCGAAACCGGTTTGGCTCAGTGGATAGAGCGTCGGTCTGCGGACTGGAAGGTCCCGGGTTCGATTCCGGTCAAGGGCATGTACCTGGGTTGCGGGCGCATCCCCAGTGGGGGGTGTGCAGGAGGCGGCTGATCTATGTTTCTCTCTCATCGATGTTTCTAACTCTCTATCTCTCTCCTTTCCTCTCTGTGGAAAATCAATAAAATATATTAAAAAAAAAAAAAAAAGAACCCATTTTGGCCCTCGAGTCAAAAAGTTTGCCCACCCCTGGCCTAGACTCTCAAACTAAGTGATTAAAAATCCAAATGAGAATGAGGAGAATAAAGGTAGAGAATCAGTAAGATACATGTATGGTAATGAGAGGGAAGAATCAGTATGACTCCCAGATAATCTGTTTTGGGGGATTTTAAAAGATGCTGTGGCCATTTGAGAAGAAGCTGTCTTAAGAAGGAATAATAATAAGTTTGATGTTTGAGACATCCAGTAAGATGTCTTCGGTAAGTAATTGGATCTGGAGCTCAGAATAAGAGTTTGTCTTCAAGGATTAAGAATAATTAATCATGATTGAATTTTTTGACACTATGGGAATAGATGTGATACTTTAGGAATTTAAGAAGAGAAGTATTAAAGATAAAACATGAACATTTTGGAGATGGGTCAGAAGGTTGAGAAGGAATGGTCTGAAAGAAATTCACTGAATTTGTTGGATACACTGATTATTGTTAATGGTGGTTTTAGTAGTATGTTAGCCAGATTGCAGACTAATTCTGTATATTATGTTTACTGAATTACAGGTTTAAGTATTTAATTAAAATTAAGAAATATTTAAAAGATACAGCTAAATTTAGAGAATTAATTAACCAATTCTTGTATACCCTCTGTAAAGTTTTTTAAAAACTTTATCCTATCTAATAAAAGACAAAAAGGGTAATTGGCTGTACCTTCACTACGCTTCCCATTGGCTAATCAGGGTGATATGCAAATTAACCGCCAACAAAGATGGCGGCCGGCAGCCACGCAGTTGAAGCGAGCATGAGGCTTGCTTGCTCCAGGGATGGAGGAAGCCAAGGTTCCTCGCCTGCTGCTGCCAACCTCTGAGCTGCACTCTAAGCAACTATGTTGCAATTATAGTAGCTAAATAAACCC